CCAGAGGCCCTTATTAACCAAGGAGACAATAATTAGTACACCTTGTTTCCACGCTTGATTTACCTTTCCCTTGAAAAGTCTTTTTTTCATTAATGCTATCTATATACATGTGGTTATTTTTATCATAGACATTATAATTATCATAATGTCATTAACTCCTTTGTGACTAAGTACTTGTGGAGCCATCTCTGTGACTCGTAAATCTGAGTAAATACAATAAATAAACTAAACATAGTGGGGATAGCATGTCCGTACATGCCATCCTTACTAACTATAAGATATGCAAATTATTTCCCCCAAAAAATCAAGGCATGGGTTGAACAGGTGAGATCAGGTATGTGGCTCCTTGGTAACTCAGTACTTGTGAAGCCTTCTATATATAAACTAAAGAAAAACAAAGTGGACACTGCAAGAAACTAGCACCTATGGGTTAACCAGTCAGCTTTTGGGCTATGGAAGAAGGGTATGGTATCTGGGCAGATATAAAATATAATGACAATAAATGACACTTCATCATTTAATTGGCATTGAAACTGCATTAATTTCTTTATGCTTACTAGTTTCCAAGTTTGAAAAAAAATGAAATGAAGCAATTTATAGTCTTAGCATTAGGACCACTACATAAACACAGCCATTTGTAGGAATGTTTTCTTCTGGGGATATCACATATGAGCAAATTTTTATGTACTATGTATCATTCCTGCTACATGAGGCCCAGAGGTACAGGGTCATAGCCCAAAGGCATGTGGACACACCCTGGCTTTGTACCAACTCCTGCCCTTAAGCCCCTAAGACATGAACAATAAATAAAGAAAAAAAATGCAGAAAACACAGCTCACAATCCACCTAGTGTTCCTGAGTCTCAGCTCTATCTTGCCCTGTACACTGAGTAGAAGACAATATTTCCCATTGGGTGTTGGAGGGCATATTACCCCCCACCAGCCCTCCCCTGAAGTACTCATACAGTAACGGCAACATAGACTGTAGAATACATTTTGTGATATGAAGTTGGGTAAATCGTCTCTGGCGAATACATCCATAGTGTAAAGAATTACCATAACTAAGTTATGACACACAGGTGTCAGGGAGTAAGGATCAAGTTTCTATTTTTATGGAAAAAATATACGCAAATGATAGAGTGAATAAATGTAAGAAACTTTTCATATATGCACATCAATTGCAAATCAAAAATAACTTTGTCATTTGACACACAATTGTCAGAGACTCGGAATGAAAAACTATCAGTGCTCATAAAAAAAACTTTTGTATGCTACACCACAAATCACAGCCAATAAAATCATGCGAAATTTATTTTGAAAGAGACAGCAAGTGTCTTTAAAACTTCAAAACACGGAATGTAACCTATTTACGTGCAACATCACAAGCTACGATTAAAACGTATCAATAAAGTCAATCGTGTCAACAAGTTACCATACCTCTTTCCAAGTAACTGTGGAAAGTTTTAAGGTGATATATTTCAAAACCTATCTGATCTGATATCAATGAACTATTGCCCATACCTACCAATTTATTAAAGCACTGTCAACGGGCGGAATAATGAAATTAGGTTCAATATGAGAGATACCGTGTCTACCTTACGTTGCACTATTTGGTACTGCGCGAGCGACGACGGATGTTTGTTTACCTCTCGGAGGTAACGTGAGGGGTGACGTCATTCTTGAGGCTCTTCCCAGCTTGGCCCGGGCTCTGTGAGTCTGCGTTGCCGAACGGGTATGGCGAAGATTTTGCACTTCTGGCCGAAGATTAGGGGCGGTAGCGTTAAACCTCTGGGTTTAGGTAAAGCCGGTACGGCAAAGGACCTGGTGGCTGTGCATAACCGAACTCATTTTCCTCGGATCTTAGCATAAGAAGAGGAGGCGAATGAACTGCCAAGATGATGTACGCAATGACACAGACTAATGGTAAAAAATATTTTATGACATAGCGTATTGGCTCTTTTATAAGCAATTTAATTGTGTATTATGCACCGACGTGCCACAACATCCTCTACCAACCATCAAACGTTTGCGCCTACCATGTACCTGTCAAGCAAACATCAATCATCGAAACGAATCACTGCTTTCCCTGCCATCTCATTACAAATACTTTTGCCTGTTGTTTTCCGGTTTTCCCAAATTGTAAGGGATTGCTTAATGTGTTTTTAACAACTATCGGTAGCCTCATGATCTCATCATACATCATTCATAAGAAAGCTATTGAAATACATAAAAACTAGTATGGATAAATAGGGTCTGATCCAGAAGAGAAGGGTGGTGGCTTCGTGCTGAAGAGTGTGAGCGCCATATTAACCTGTCAAGTTTCAAAATGTGTGCCGATTCCATATGTGCAAGGTCGGTGTGAAATTTTTATATTGACCTATACTGCTTACCCATATATATCCATCTCACTTTTTCCCTGGACAAGCGTTAAAAAAATATGGTGGATAATTCATTGCTCTGCCAAATTAGGAAACGTGCCCCTCACGTTCCCCCGGCCCTGATTAATGTATAAAAAATAGTACATTCATATTGTGATAATTTATTAATTACGCCGACTATTTCTACTACATTGCCCCTCAAACACACGGTATCTTAATTCATTTCTTCGTTTTTGTATATCGTCAGTAGGGTGTGGGTATATACATATATATATATTTGATGAGAAATCTTTTATTACGTTTCTGCGATGTGTACGAGTAAAAAAAACGGCATTGCCAGGGTAGTAAGAACACTCCATATAGAGAATAAAACCCAAATAAATATTTACAAAAAACACTAGAAAGTAAGTACTGCCCGATTTACGTATCATATGGCGTCTTCTGTAGCGTCCTTAATTAACTCTTAATACCGTATTTAGTTTAATCCTAATCCACACCGTGTCCGTACCGATGACGACACTCTCCGCTGCCAGACGGCACGACAATAATGTTCAGTAAAAACTGTCGTACTCACTATTCTATCACCACCATTATAAACATGACGGAGAGAAGAAAAATGTCGCGCGTGAAATTCGCTCTTTTGGGAGATATCATGGTTTTCTTTTCTTTCTTTCTTTTTGTAATGTCATGTTTTTGGTAATCATATTTAAGAAACTATTTTAGACATCTCTTAGGTTTCAAAATATCTATTATATTTAATGTGTATTTCATGAAACTGAGACTCTTACTAATGTTTTCATAATGCTAATTATCTTATGCCTCTTTTATCTCTGCACTGCTTTGCCTCCTAATTGTTTAAAGTGTTCTGTAAATAATATAAACTTCTCAGATGCTTCTGAAGACCACCTTTTCCTTCCCTTCATCCCAGACGTACCTACATGATTGAAGACAAGGCATTAAAAACTTATTCATATTATTAATCAATTCTTTATGCCTCCCAATGTTCCCAAAATTGAAAACTAAGACTAGCATCATATCAAAGTAAGAAAGTTCGTACCTCTATTTTCTGTACACATTTCTTCAAGATTATCTGTTTCAAATATGATTTGTTTGGAATCTTAAGTTAATGGACTGTCTCTTTAAATTTCTATCAATTCTTGTGATGTTCCTGGTCTGTGATAGTGATGGTTCTGCCCTCTGCTGTTGATGTGAAGATCCTGGTCTCGTATTTCTGGGCGTGTGGGAATAGGTTTTACAAATCTAAAGGGTGGGAGCTGAGGTATGTTGTCTTTTTATTGCTGAACAATCTGTGGTATTTTGAAACATTTCTGTGCAATGTTCTCTTCACACATAACTGTTGCATGTTGTGTAGGGTAGCGTTTGGAGCAAGTCATGCACTCATACCTGTAAATAAGCAACAAAATCATCCAAAAGATATCTATTCAACATTCACCCTTCATGTCCCTACGCATATGATATAGAAGACAGTATTAAAGATATTACCTAAAGATTTGCAGTCCGATATAAAATTTACTTGGATAAATAAACCTTGCAATTTGCATTCAGACACATTGTTAAAAGATTTTTCTGACAACTGATATTTTTTTTATAGATTGGAGAAAAGGTGATTGTTATAGAAAGTTGTAGTCAGTCACTCAAGATGCAGTTTGATCTTCATATGATAATTACGAGGCACAAGTAGGCTTACTTATAAGGGAAACATGATTATTTATGAAATATTCTTTTTTTCATGATAACGATCTTATATTATAGTAGTAAAATGGGTAACGAAACTGCTCTAACAACTATAAAACCAATCTTTATTTCAATGACACTCAAGTACAAAAATGACATTCACCAATAATATCCATCGCGCAGTTTCCTCGGACAGCTCTTTGCTCTGTTGAATCGTGTTGGAGAGGGAAACATGTTTTCTTCAGGATGCTGTTCAGGAGGTCCATAGAAAAGTATACTTGTTAATTTTGTAGTAAAGTAGTTGAGAAAAACTCAGCACATAATTCTTCTTTAAAACACTGGTTCATATTTGATTTAAAACGTCAACTTGTGTGACCTGACCATATAATTTTTGTTTCACTAACCTGGAAATATGAGTTCCATGCCCGCAGCCTCTGAACTTCAAAGATTCCTCGTGGGATTATATTGGTTTTTATATTCATTACCATAAGTTATTTCCTTTATCAGAATATTTGATCATTTGTGTAAATATATACAATTTCATTTTCATAATAAATACTAAGTATGAAAATTCTAAGACGATCGATGTTATTGCCGAAAATAACTCTGAATGGCAACTCAAGCGATGGCACCATGAAGTTCATGACGGACACGTGACGTAACAGTACATGATTGGTGGGATTAATGTCCTTCTGCGCATGTGCAGGATTAAAAAATGAGCTTAATATTAAAGCCTGGTCTAGAGGTGCATTAAAAGTTGATCCTGGACGCTGCCAACGCGCATTCGCACAAGAGATCTGGATTAAACTTTAATACTGGATTAACATTTATGGCACGTACAGAAGACGCCCATATGTTCTTTATGGCCAATCTGTGTACATTAAAAAATATTTTTATTTACTTAAAATGGAGTATATTTCATGTGTTATTGACGTGGCCGCGTGAGGGCCACCGATTAATAGTTCCCCCTCTCGTCTTTTCCGTTTGTTGACAACTCTTGGGATATTTTATTTGATATACGTGTTACATAATTGATTTAATTTCTTTGCACATATTAAATTCTATTAATTTTATTTTAATGAGCTTGAAGCTTTATTAATTGAAAAGTATAATCAGTGTGGAGGGTAGCCCCTCGGTAAGCAACCTCACCGCAGTATCAATTCTCTTGAGAACCATATTGAGACAGACAAAAACAGAGTGAGAGAGGGTGGATGTACGAAAGAGGACAACCTCCATCCTTTGCTCATTGTTGTCGTGGGAGAGAAGGGTTTAAGCGACGGTCACACTACCCTTCTCTGTCCTGGGATCCTAAGAAAGCCATGCCGAATGTCTGTCAGCTCCAGAGTGGGATTGGTCAATAATGCACAGTGCCTCTCTGTGGAGAAGCATCGTCCTACAAAAGGCCATTGTGTCTGTAGTAACCTCCTGGGTGAACTACGCATCGAAGATAGTCGTGGATTCGATTAATATTATCGCATTTACTGTAAATAAAGACAACCGTGCCCCGATACCCCATATTTCAACAGGAAAAGAAAATCCGACAATATTCTTTCCAATTGCATATAACGCTGTAAGTGTAATTAGTAACGAACAATTTACTTACTTATGGACTGATGAAAATTAAAGATGGGAGGAAGCAAATAATATAACTGAAATTGAGTAAATTAATAGTAATTGTCAATCGTGATGCAGCCACGCCAGCCGTATGATTATGACCAATGTAAAGCAAAGTTTCTTGTTGATTTCATTCATTATTATTATTTTTTTTTTTTGTAATTTTCCGGTATCATGATATTTTTGGATGTTATTCCATATTTGTTCTCTGGCTCCCATTTCGTCCAGCATAGCGCAAAGAAAGTCTCTAGTGAGCAGTGTCTGTAGCATGTCGGAGTGGGTGCTTGTTTGCATTCCTTGATCAAGTGAACGTTTATCTGAATAATCTTTTAAATTTTACTGAGGGATCATTGTTGGTTGTAATATATATTACCTATTTCTACAGTACATCTGTACTAAACATGATATAATCATCACCGTTTAGATAAGTAATAAGCTTCCTAGTAATAATACTACAGATTTTGTTTTGGAATCATCTTTCCCTCCATAGCTAGGTCAAAAGACTAACACCACTGCATCTCTAGGAAGTAATTTTTTATCCCGCTTCCCTTCACAACCCAGAATGCATTTACTCTCTGTAAAGGGACAGAATAGACTAGTGTGACCCTGGACAGAATAGACTAGTGTGACCTCCACCCCTGTAGAGACGAGACTGAGACCCAATGTAGGGAACCACCCCTACATTAGACCTCAGCCCTCGCTTCAACCAATTTTGCATGGTCTTTTCTTCTTTTCGTTTCCTTCTCTTCTCCATCCCCTTCCGTCCACTTCCCAAGGTGTGAGAGCCAATCTGAAAGGATGTTCTTAATGGCGTCCAGGAGCCAAGAGCATGGTAATCCCTTGGTTAATCACCTACCCCTTGCTCCTTATGGGGACCATGAGGAGTAGACCGTCTCTTTTCTTCACTAATTTCATGGTCACCATGGTCAATAATGAAGATTTTTATCCTTGTTAGGGGCATTAAGGCTAGTCCCTTCGTCTAGTC